CATCAGGACAATTTGTTTATGCACTACAGACCTAATCATTTGATTGACTTACTGGAAACCTGCTGCATTTTTACAAAATTGATGAAACAGTTGTGGCAAAAACAGCAAATAAGACAGACAAAAAATAAAAAATAAATTAAAAAGGACAGCTAATTATATATATTTTAACCAAAATAAAATTTATTACTTTTTTAATTCAGTTTATTTATATAGCGCCAAGTCACAACATACAGTATGTTGTCTCAGGGCACTGTACGTAAAAAGAACAATCTAAAGAAGAAACCAGCAGGCTGCGTTAAATCACTTCACAGTCTCCCATCCTGAGCAAAATAATAATAATAATAATAACGCAAGACACTTTCTGCTACCATTAGAAAGCAGGAAAAGTATGTCAGAATGATAACGAGAAAGATTTATCCAATAAGTCACTTATTAACAGTTCTGAAAAAGCAGTGCCATGAGTACATGTCTGAGACCATGACCTATCAGAGAGTTCGTCTGATCTGATTTACTGCAGGATGTCACCACGATCCTATTTTGCATTCACATAAATAATTAAGTTTACTCTAACAGAGTGACTCCACTTTGTGTAAAGTTGTGTGGAACTGTTTATACCTTTTGGTGTTTGAACTTTCATCCTAATCCTAATCTGATTTATGTTGCTGTTGTGTAGGTTTTTATGTTGGAGTGAGTATGTTCACAGTGCACAGAAATCCAGATGTCTGGAAAAACCCTGATGTAAGTCATAAAGATTTTAATTTCAGTACAAATTATTGCATATTGGAATTTTTATTATTCAAATTAATGATAAATAATTCTAAATATGTTTGTAAATATGTAAATACATTTTGTGTCATGTCAGGTCTTTGACCCGCTGCGTTTCCTCCCAGAAAATGTCGCTAAGAGGTCACCTCATGCTTTTGTGCCTTTTTCAGCTGGGCCAAGGTTTGAAAACCCCTTCTGCTACATGACTGCTTGAATGATGTTATCAGTTTACAGCTACTGATTGCCTTGCTCATCTGTCTGACATAAGTCTGTGTAGTTTGTGAATATGTAACCTAACACCTGCTCCTACTTTTACTAACTCCATAAAATAAGTTTCAAGGGTTTTTATGGCCTAGATTAAAGTAGAGAAAAGGTCATATCAGTAACCACCTACCTGTCTCACTGAACATTGATTTGATCGTACAGCTCTTCATTCAGGCTCATTTTCTCCAAGAATAAATTTACACAATCCAATTTTATGTGATGCTTTTCCTTTATCTCCCTCTAATTTTATTTTGTTGTTGTTTTCTTTAGAAACTGCATCGGTCAGAATTTTGCGATGAACGAGATGAAGGTGGTGACAGCCCTGACGCTGAAGCGATACCAGCTGGAAGAGGACCCCGATTTTAAACCCAAGTTGATCCCAAGATTGGTTCTTCGCTCACTCAATGGGGTCAACATCAAAATCAGGCCTTTTGAACCCTAAGTGTAAAGAAGAAAATAAAAAAAACACAACCTACTGCAAACTTGGTTCTTTTAGTAAGAGAATCGTTTGATTTGAAACATGTTTAACGGAGATTTTTACACTAAGACTTGATGATTTTAATATTTACATCTTTTAAATATTTTTGAGAAGAATTTCTTCCTAAAAGTGAACACAAAAAACCTGAAATGCTCGCACACAGACACTTTTCTCAAAAAGTACGTTTGTATGTTGAATGTGTTGAAGGATTTCAGTTTTTGTTTGAAGATAAGCTTCAGTTTGTGATAAACGCGAGACCTCGTCTGGTCTTAATTTTACAAAATGTGACTTTTTTATTTGCTTTTTAGTCATAATACTGTGTGGAATGTGACTAAAAATCAAATGCCTTTTTTTTTTTTTTTTTT